TGGACCCCTTTTACTTGTCTCCTCTCCTCTACTTCACCCAGGCTGGCTATCATGGTCATTACTTCATGTATAGGATGACCAATGTATGGGGCCAGTATGGCCATCAGTGATCCAAAGGACATTGATGGAGCATTTTGCAACACTATGTCTCTCATGCTGCCTGTAAAACTTTCATCGTACAGGCCACACGTGTTCACATTAAATATGGACAGCAGCATCCCCAGCTTCCAAATTATTTGAACCAATTCAGCATTTGTTTGCCATTTACTAAAAATCTTGGGCAATTCTCCAGCATTTACCCACATGGTTTGGGCAGCTGCATTCACTCATTCCATTCAAGAATGATTACCTGGCCCTTGTGCATATCTGCAGCTATTCTGTAGCTGCTGCCTCAGGGATGGGTGCATGGAAATAGAGGACAATTTTTCCATCTCCTCACCCAAGCATATCACACTATCCACTGCTAGATCCCATAACCATAGCAGCCAAGCAGCCAGGGGCTCCTCCTGTTTCTGCCAGAACTCTCTCCCCAAGTCAACTAATTGAACCTGGGTATATGGGACATAGGTAGTGAAGTGGGTCACCTGTGGGTTGCCCACTGGTTGCCCACCAGTTGTCTTCCCGGTCCTATAGTCTGCTAGTGTTTCATTTTCCAATACATGACAGGTCGTGCCTGGATACACATGGTCTCCCCCAACTCACCACTGGATTCATTGTCCTCCCTGGTGTCAGAAGCAGGAGTGGCCAGTTGCTGCATGTCATCCTATAGGACATTCATCCATGCTTCCAACAACTCTGCTTTCCACTTCAAATCATGATCACCTTGCAGTATATTGAGCACCAGCCAGGTTCTAGCAAGCAGAAAAGTGGCTACCAGGCCACTCAAGGATAGCCACATTTCCTCCCCCTCCCAAGGGTTTCTTTGCTGTAGTGCCTGGTCTGTGCTGACTTGCAGTATAGTGAGCAGCAACCAGATCCCAGTCAACAGGAAAGTGGCCTTAGGGCACAACATATTCAAAAATAGCCACATTTCCTCCTTCTCTCAAGGGGCTTTTGGCTCCTGTACCTGCTCAGACTCCTGCTGTGGACTACACCAATTGTAAAGCTAGGAATATGTCTCATAGACCCCTCGAGCCCATTGTACAGACTGGGCCATAAACCCTCCACATGCAAGTCTATGAGCTAGGTAATAGAAAAATGTCTTGGGAGACGTGGGTGAAGAAATAATAGGCTTTATTTAGAGCTAGGAGCAGCTGCCCAAAATAGCTTCCCGAAGCATCTTCAGAAGCTTCACGCATCAGAGCCATTAGTCCTTTTTACTTAAGTCCATAATCCAAAACACCTCTGGCAGTGGCTGCAGCCCAGAGTAGAAGCGGTAGGAAGGGAAAGGCAGAGCCTCAACATGGTTGCCGGCCCCTCCCACACCAGATATTTGGCGATATTTGGGAAGATTCTGAACATCCGAGACAGAGTAGAAGCGGTAGGAAGGGAAAGGCAGAGCCTCAACATGGTTGCCGGCCCCTCCCACAAGAGATATTTGGCGATATTTGGGAAGATTCTGAACATCTGAGGGGCGATATTTGGGAAGATTCTGAACATCCGAGAGGCCCTGACCAATTTTTAATATTTTCCTGACATCACATCAACACTTTGAAACACACTGAAAGATAAAAATCATACGATCATCTCAATAGGTGCAGAAAAAGCATTTGATAAAATTTAACATCTCTTCATGATAAAACTCTCAATATATTAGGTATAGAAGGAAAGTACCTCAACACAATAAAGCCGTATATGACAAACCCACAACTAACATCATCCTGAATGGGGATAAGTTGAAAGTTTTGCCTCTAAGAAAAGAAACAAAATAAGGATTCCCAGTCTTACTGCTCTTACTTAACATAGTACTGGAAGGTCTAGCTAGAGCAATCAGGCAAGAGAGGAATAAAGGGCATCTAAATTGGAAAAGAGGAATTCAAGTTGTCTCTGTTTGCAAATGACATGATCTTATAATATAGAAAAACCAAAAGACTTCACCAAAACACTTTTAGAGCTGATAAACAAATTCAGTAAAGATGGAGGCTGTAAATCAATATACAAAAGTCAGTAGCATTTCTGTACACCAGCAATGAACTAGAAAAAATGAAATCAAGAAAGCAGTCCCATTTACACTAGTTAGCAAAAATAAAATACCCAGGCATAAATCTAACCAAAGAGGTAAAAAGTCTCTACAATGAAAATTACAAAACACTGATGAAAGAAATTAAAGAGAAAACAAATAAATGGAAAGACATTACATGCTCATGATTTAGTAGAATTAATGTTGTGAAAATCTCCTTACTACCCAAAGCATTCCACAGATTCAGTGTAATCCCTATCAAAACACCAATGGCATTCTTCACAGAAACAAACAAACAAAAAAAACCATCTTAGCATTCATATGGAACTACAGAAAACCTCAAATAGTTAAAGTATTTCTGAGCAAAAAGAGTAAAGCAGGAGGCATTGTGCCACTTGACTTCAAATTTTACCAGAAAGCTATAGTAATCAAAACAACATGATACTGGCATAAAAACAGATACTTGGATCAATGTAACAGAAGAGAAAATCCAGAAACAAACCCAGGTACTTAAAGCCAGCTGATCTCTGATACAGGCACTAAAAATATACATTGGGGAAAGAACAACCGCTTCAATAAATGGTGTACTAGCCATGATATGGAGATATGGAACCAACCTAAATGTCCATCAACAGATGACTGGATAAGGAATATGTGGTGTGTATATATATAATGGAATATTACACAGCCATGAAAAAAATGAAATTCTGCCATTCTCAGCAACATGATGAGCTTGTTGAAAATTATGTTAAGTGAAATAAGCCAGAGAGAAACAGAAATACTGCATACTCTCTCTCATAAGTGGGTGCTAAGAAAGAAGGAAAGACCACAATAATATGTTGAACTTTCAGAAGGAGAGAACAAATCTACAGTTACTGGAGATGAGGAAGGGGGTCGTGCCATGCCCATGTTCTGCACTTTACAAGGATCTTGCAGTCTCTTGGTGCTCTTCAGTGTCTTTCTTCAGTCATTCCAGTCAGAATGCATTTGTGTTTTTTGGTCTCTTTCTGTCAGGGTTGGGACTAGCACCAGACCTCTCTTGTTGGCTATCTTGCCTCTAGAAAGTTGACTTTTATTTAATTAATTAATTTATTTATTTTTGTTGTTGAGCTGAAGCTTTTTAGTTTGATATAGTCTCACTTGCCTATTTTTGCTTTCGTTGCCTAAGTGTTTGGTGCCATATCCGAGAAGTCATTGTATAAACCAGTGTCATAAAGCTTATCCTCTATGTTTCTTCTGTGAGATTTCCAGTTTTTGGTCTCTCAGTTTCTCTGGGTGAAATGATCCAGTAACAGGGGAAACCACAAATGTAGAATCTAAATATCCTCCAGTAAATCATGAAAGCTAAATTATTCAAACTGGATCTACACTAGTATGTAGTTTGGCATGGATAAC